CAGACGAGGGCACTGGCGAACCAGGTGGCCTGACTGGCCACACCCCCAACACACTCTAGGGCGTGCACTAGCCCGACGGTTAGGCTGTAAAGACACTGTACGAATCAGCTCCTCCACCCCGAAACCCAGGAAGGCCTGGTAAGGTCCCCATCCACATCTGCTACCCTCACCACTGGTGACCCCCCCGGCTGCTCTCTGGAGGTCGCTGTCCCCCAAACGATCTCCCTCTCCAGCGCAATCTCCAAGGCGTCCTGCAGCGTCTTAGGGTGGGCGAGCTGTGCCTGTATGCGGAGATCCCCCGGAACAAGGGCCTGGATGAACTGATCCCTCGCCAGCTCATTCCGAACAGACGGACACGTGCAGTCAGGCTCTCTATGTCGTTTGCTAGGGAACAAAGCGGTTCACCAGGCTGCCTGCGCCTGTTAGACAGTTCTGAACGCAGGAGACCTGGCTGAACGCATTGTCCAAAACGTCTCCGTGGCGCCCTGACTAACGCACTATAGTCCCTCCGCTCCTCTGCCTCAAGCAATAACAGGCAAGACAGAGCATCGTCCACCAGACACATCGCCAGCTCCAAAGCCTTGCGCTCTTCCGACCAGCCCCCACTGAGAGCCAGCAGTTCAAACTGAGCGTGAAACGCCTCCCAGTCCGCCTTACCCGAATACTTCGGTGTCTTCATGCGGGCGGGGTGATCCCCTGCACAGGCGCCGCCATGTTCGCCCACGTAACGCCCCGCTGCCGCCACTGGTCCAGCGCACAGCTCAGCTTCCCGTGAGCCCAAAGGGGAAAGACCCGCTTCGCCCGCCAGCCTCCTAGTAGCCTCCTTAATGCCGGAACTTGTGCTGTTGAGCTCTCACCAGCCCTGCGGCATAGAGCTTCTCCTCCTGAGCCGCCGCGTCCGGGTCCGGCTTAACTCCAGCGATCCCCGGTCGAAACATCTCCCACAAAACAAGTGCCAGGAAAACCACACAGAAATGAAAACAAAAAGCACCTAATAGCGAAGCGCTACTGTCGGCAACCCTGAAAAAAATGAAAAGTAGCGAAAACTTTTCCTGTTGTTTTACTTCTGACACCAATTGTAATGACCAGACAACATGCGTAACTCAAAAGAGCACTTTAATGTACCCTGTACGGCCGCAGCCCACACCAAACTCGCAAAAGAACAGGATCCAACAGAAAAGAACAGCAACACTTAATGTTCCCCAGTATATATAAGGTTGTGCGGAGCCCGCCACTTTTCCTTTTATCCACTCCGCAGGTACCCCACATTCCCGCTATCTCCAAACCCCCCGAGATTGGCTGAAAAGGGGTGGGAGGACTGCCCTATAATAAACATTAAATAGTCCTAGTCCTCTAGCCGCTACAGTATTTTGGGCTCATGGCGACTGTTGCACACGCCTTTGTTTCCCAGATTGCTTTACATGCGAATTTTTATTCATTTTAAATGTTCGAATGTATCCGTATACTGTGGAATGGGTCAATACATGAATGGATTAATAACTTTAAAATTAGAGAAGACAGGCACAATGCATACCCCTTGGGTTTTCAGAATAACTTTCTCTGTAACAGTTATTAATTAATACATTGTATGCATATTATATGCCATAGCTCCATTTCATACATATTAACAGAAAGAGCCCCTCACGATTCACGCGCCAATGTCGTACGGATCATCCAGGTACGCCGGTGTTCTGTTGAAAAATACTACCTATCGAGACGTGCTATCGAACCTTTCTGTGCATGTGCAGTTCCACCATTTTGGGATTAGGGTTAGGTTTTAGGGGTTAGGGTTAGGGTTAAGGTAAGGGTTTTAGGGGTTTTGGGGATTTAGGGTTAGGGTTAGGGTAAGAGTTAGGGTTAGGGCTACCTATTAGCACTACGGTAGCATTTTTTGACAAGGCAGCATATATCGTCAGAACACCGGCATTGTCTTCGCAGAAACCTCGACTTAACCAAGAACAAAAACTGCTCGGAGCAGTTTTGAGATTTAGCGTAAATTGCCATGGCAGCATGCCTCGACTAAAACCCACTCGACTAGGTGGGTAACCTTTCGTAGTATGGGTTAATCGCGAAGTTACACCACACGTCATCAAGTTACTCGCAAAGTTACCCCGATAAGCCTGTTACCCCGCTTCGTAGTACAGGTCCCAGAAGTGCCAGTGTGGCTTTGAAGCGCGGTACTCACTTCGCGATTCATTGTGGTGTTTACGCATGCTATCAGTGTTTACTTGTTGTTTTGTTGTCCTATGCGGCGTATCTTATGATTGAGTAGGTGTTGTCATCATACATTCTGCATACCTGTTGTTTCCTTAGGTTGGACATGGACTGTTTTGATATCGACAACATCTTTACAGCCGGTAAACACGCACTGCATTGCACAGTTAAATTTGTACCTTTTTCCGTAATGTATCGGAAATGTTTTTTGTATTTCCAGCAATGGAATGCATTCCTTTCCTTGTCTGCCATTGCCTGCAACAGAAACTCAGACCGCTCTGGCAAGTTAATTAGCAGAATTGGCTGCAAATGTAGACGCGACAACATAACCAATCAGAAGCATCGAATAGTTTCAAACTTTCGGCTGTGGAGGGAAATAGCAAAGGAGGATGTTTAGCATAAGAAAAACATGAAAAGCAATGAAAATACTGTTATTAAAGATATTGGCAAGGTTTTGCATACGGTCTTATGATGTAACTAAAATTGTAATCATGAATATTTTCATAAGTAACTGTAATTTAATTACACTTTTTTCTCTAGTAATTGTAACGGATTACAATTACATTTTTTTGGTAATTAAATTACATAACGCCGTTACATGTAACTCGTTACTCCCCAACACTGCACTTATAGTCCGAGCGCCCTCTCCTATTGGCTATTCGCCACCAGGAAATTAATGGTGCGCACACCTCATATTTTCCGCCTGCTAACATTGTTAAGCAGCGATTGTCGCTCACTGTCACTCAGATCATAGAGGAGGTGGGTCCAAACAACAAGAGGATGCAGGACCAACCAATCAGATGTCTTGAACCCACCTCTTTTACAATTTGATTGATTATCTCTTTGAACCAATCATTTTTCATTCTGCCCTCAGAACATTTTTGTGTAAGCAAAACTCCTCCAAGCTTAGTGTGGTGCCAGATTCTTCTCCTGTGCTACATATGTCAAAATTTTAAAAGTGGTATATGTTGAAATGAAAACAACCCCAAACATCCCCTTTAAATAGGAAGGGAAAACACACAGATGTCAGGTTGCCAGATTGTATGATCTCCCTGTTCCTGTTCCAGAGCGGTTGGTGGTGACGGGTGCAGATGAGCCTGTCTATGCACATGCTGGAGAGGCTGTAACTCTCAGCTGTTCTGTGGACACCCATGTTAATGTGACAGAGCTTCAGGTGAAATGGATAAAGACAGACGATGACGGTGACATCTTGGTGCTTCTGTTCGCTGATGGAGAAAACAGACCAGAGTCACAGGACAGGAGATACTTTGGAAGAGCTGAATTCCTCAGAGAGGAAATTCCCAAAGGAAACTTCTCAGTGAAATTGAGGAAAGTCAGGACTGAAGACAAAGGAGAGTTCAGGTGTGAAGTCCACTCAGATACCGATTCTGCCAGTACTACTGCCAGGATAGCAGCACTGGGTGAGTCATTAGAAGGACTGGTTTTAACATGCATCTCAACATACACTATATTGCCAAAAGTATTTGGACACCCCTCAAAATCATTGAATTCAGGTGTTCCAATCACTTCCATAGCCACAGGCATATAAAACCAAGCACCTAGACATGCAAACTGCTTCTACAAACATTTGTCAAAGAATGGGTGAATTCATGCTTGGTACTGTGATAGGATGCCACCTGCGCAATAAGTCCATTCATGAAATTTCCTCGCTAAATATTACATGGTCAACTGTTAGTGGTATTATAACAAAGTGGAAGCAATTGGGAACCACAGCAACGAGCCACAAAGTGGTAGGCCACATAAAATAACAGAGTGGGGACAACACATGCTGAGGCACACAGTGTGCAGAAGTCGCCAACTATCTGCAGAGGCAATAGCTACAGACCTCCAAACTTTGTGTGGCCTTTAGTTTAGCTCAAGAACACTGTATAGTGAACTTTATGGAGTGGGTTTCCATGGCCGAGCAGCTGTATACAAGCCTTACATCAGCAAGTGCAATGCAAAGTGTCGGATGCAGTGGTGTAAAGCATGCCGCCACTGAACTCTAGAGCAGTGGATCACGCTTGCCAGTTGCCAGTAGAATGGTACCTGCCTGACTGCATTGTGCCAAGTGTAAAGTTTGGTGGAGGGGGGATTATGGTGTGGGGTTGTTTTTCAGGGGTTGGGCTTGGCCCCTTAGTTCCAGTGAAAGGAACTCTTAATGATGCAGCACTCAAAGACAATTTGGACAATTCCTCACAAATGCTCTCCTGGTAGAATGGTCAAAAATTCCCATAAACACACTACTAAACCTTGTGGACAGCCTTCCCGAAGAGTTGAAGCTGTTATAGCTGCAAATTGTGGGCCAACTCCATTTTAAAGCCTATATATTCAAAATGGGATGTCGTTAAAATTCATGTGTGTGTAAAGGCAGGTCTCCCAGTACTTTTGGCAATATAGTGTAGTTCTGTGTAATTAAGTCACAATTTCAGTCTCAGTGGCTGTGTGGTAGACTGATCTTTATGCGAATGCTATAGGGTTTAATCTGCTCAGTGTAACAGCAGAAATGGTCAAATTTACTTCAGTTTTAAAGACACAAAATGCATTAAATGAATAAATTAATATCTGTCTCAGTCTTCACCTTTAGTGCAGTTTTCAGCTCTGTCATAACAGGTATTTTATTAGAGTGATGCAGTGTAATGTGTAATTATGGTTTTATCATTAATATTAATTTAGGAGCTACAGTGACCATGAGAATGTCACTGGGAAAAAATCATAACATAGTATTTTTATTAATTGTACATAATATTGTTAGAGGTAATACCGTTAAACAGCCCTTTGTGTCATGCTGTGTAAAATTGTAAATACTGTATATCCAAATCATATATGGGAATATGAAAATTCTTATGTACTAAATAAGGATGCTTTCAGACTGAACAACAGTTAGGAATCACACAACAATGGACAAAGATTTGTTCATAAATTTCTGCTCCACTTTGTGAGACTAAATGGTGTGGACGTGTTGATAATGCTGCAGCATGACAAACAGCCTATTTTAGAAAATGACTAATGGAATGTAATTCTGAATATTTTAGGTTACTCATCCCTGCATTGGCTGATTCTGGGGCTGTGCATCGCTGTCACACCTGTAGTCCTACTTACTGGTGCATTATCTGTCAGGCATTTAATAAGGGGAGGTAAGTGTAGCATCTGCTCTGTCATTTCTAGTAATTATGATGACATCAGTGGATCCATGTTTGCAGCCACTTATCCTGTAAAGGGCATCTCAGCAGACATGGGGCATCTGGCAGGACTGTATCTACACAGGGTGCCTGTCCATTGCAGGGCTTAACTGTGATGTAAATAACATACTTTGATCCTGTTTCTCTGGTAACAAACATATATGTGTGAATATGAGTTTTATCACTTTAAATCAAACCAGTAAAACCAAACCCCAGCAAATCAAAACAATGAAGCAAAGCTGATGTCCTCACTGAAATTATACTAAAAATAATGCAGGAGCTGCATCTGGTGAGACTGACAGTCTGTACTGGGTGTCTGTAGGTGAGCATGCAGCAGAATGACCATCTGAGGATGGCTGTAGATCATTAAACTTTGCACGAACCATCATCTAACGTTAAAGAGCATGTGGTTAAATCTGTTTCTACTTTCTGTCCATAGATAAAAGCAAACAGGCTCTGTTGAGTCACTGGTCACATGTCACAGTTCCACCAGTCATGGTTTCCACAGCCTTCATCCTGTGGGGTGTAACTGAAGGTGAGCCAATTGAATATGGTTTAAAGAAGCTTTACAAAGAGACAGATTTTACTGTTTTTGTTTTGCAGGCAGTAAGTAATAAACAGCAGCAGCATAAACAGCAACCTGCTGGGGATTAATTATATAAATTAATGAATCTTTTGTGTTTGCTCAGAATGAGCAGCTCATGGAATATCCCCCCAGGCAGGTAATTAAACACACTGTGATGAAACAAAGATATATTTTAAAACAGCAGAGGCAGTGCCCCCTGATGACTAATTATAGAATTTTAGATGTTAGCAGTCAGTAATGAAGTGACAGGTAACATGAAATCCAATGTAAAATTCAGCAAAGTAGAAGGGAGGAAGTTATGAGAAGCTAAGAAATTTAAACAGAACAGAAAAAATGCAGATCCTAGTGCTGCATTCAGAACTGAGGAACAATTCTATGGCTGCCCACATATATACTGTAAGAGGAAAGGATTCCTTCAGTTTTATCAGTGATGCCTTGGGGGGTGTGGCTCAGTGGATTAGGATGTTCTGCCTGCGTTTGGAGGGTCCCTGGTTCAAATCTCAGACTAACAGTGTGATTTTACACATGGGCTTCTCAGCAAGGACCTTAACCCCCAATGACGCTGCTTGATTTTGCTAAATTAATAAAACTTAATGTTAATTTTTCCCCAGGATCCACAGAAGAGACTGTTACTTGTACTGCCATCAGTCTGCTCTATATCCTGGTGTTGTTTCTTATGGCTCCATATCAGAAATCATTCACAGGTATGTTTACATATTTCCATGTTTCCTGTCCTGTTTCCTTCAAGGAGGTTAACTATTTCGGAAAAAAAACTGTAGATAAACACAGGTGTTTATAATTAGTTTGACCATGACAGAGATCATTGTCAGAATTGTGTCAGAGTGGTTTGGAGAGGAGCAGCTGAGAGCTTCCAAAGGATCATATGTAAAGAACCAAAGAGCAGTGAAGATCCATAGTATCCGGCAGGAGATGAAAACCCTCAGATCCCAATACAAACAGACAAAAGAAGAGGAGCGCAGTGGCTTGGCTCAGCTGATGTACATCCTACACAAGAAGATCAGGGTCCTCCATGGGGCAGAGTGACACTGGAGACGATGCCGTGAAAGAGCCTGAAAGCACTGCATTCATCACCAAGCTCTTCATGAAGGAACTGTTAGAGCAGAAGCATAGCAGCAAGCTGGACTGTTCACAGGAGGAGATAGATCATTATCTGAAGCAGTCGTATAGCGACCCAGCAAGAGATCAGGACTTGGGAGAGTGCAGCACACTGATACAGCCGACCGAGGCAGCTCGACACGTCAGACCTGCAGCTGAAAGAGGTTCCTGAGGTAGTTCCTGAAGCTCAGCTCCAGGCCTGAGTGGCACCCTTGCAAAGTGAACAAGAATTGGCCTAAATTGTTTCTTCGCCTGCTGAAGCTCCTCTGAGTTGTCTGGAGAAGGGCTAGTATTCCAGACCAGGGGAGGGTTGCTGAATGATTATGGATTCCAAAGCAAGAGAACTGAGAATAGATCAGTTCTGTCTCATCTCTCTGTTGAGTGTTGAAGCAAAGATTATCTTCAGTGCTGTTTGTAACCAGCTGTGTACCTTTCAGTTACATCGATATATCAGTCCAGAAAGGGGGCATTTCAGGAATGTCTGGATACCTGAAGCAGATGGGCGTGGTGTCCAGTGATGCGCGCATCGCAGTTATATCCGGGGGGGGGGGGGGGCACCGCGGTAGGCAAATTCATAAAAATTACTATTCTGATTAATAGCAGAAGGGTTGCATGTAGGGTTTCATCATAAATGAGGAAAATATTCATTACATTCTCTAAAATGTGAACATATTTTAAGCTTCATTTTACGTCAGGTACGAATCAGCAGACTAGACTCTTGTTGCGGGTCCGTTTGTCTTATGCAGCAATGGAGGCAAAAAGAGCTGAGTGAAAATCAAATCAGGAGAATTAAAAACAAATAAAAAGGAAGTTACATGTGGAAGTGATTTAGTGAAATAGCATGACAAGTCAAGTACTGGGAATGTCATATGCAACATAGTATTAGTATTCTTAATGGTCTGTATTTGGGAAGATGCAGAAACATGCATGTTGCACCGGGGCAACATGCATTATAGAAGGAAACCATAGTATCAGGAGAAGAGAGTTTATGTAAGTCAGACAGAGAAGAAGATAGAAGAGAACCAGCTAAGAGATTAGAACTGACAGAGATTTTCTTAGGAGGAGGAGTATTAGTGTGAAAACTGCGTTGTTTCATCACTCTTTGTACATGTATGAAGCTGCTGATGACAATAAAGTAACCTTGAACCTTATAGTCTGATGGGAGTAAAGATGTCAGTCTGTGTTAAGGCAGGTGTGGAAATAAAAATAAAAATAAAAAT